CCCACTGAAAATTAGTTAGGGGTTCTATTAGTTCAAGAGAGCTAGTGGCTATAAGCAACTCCCAAATGTATAAGAGCTCAATCATTGTAAAGTATATTTCTGGCAGACGTTCCCGATCAGCTCTGCTCCAAGTGGTGAGTCAGGGACCCAGGCTTCTTTCGTCTATGGCTCTGCCATCTTCAACACGTGACTCCCAAGCTTAAGTTCTTCATGAAGTTTAAGTTCATCAGTTCTTCATGATCTTCATGAAGCTGGTGAAAGGGGAAGGAGTGAGCAGAAGCCGACATAACTGCTTCTTAATTACCTTGCTTGGAAGTCACGTATGTTACTTCCACTCACATTTAATTGGCGAGGATTAGTTATGTGGCCAAGTTAGAGGCAAGAGGGCTGGGAAATGGAGTCTTTTAAAGCACAGCCTTCTTCTGCTGACAACACTACAGTATGAAAGAGAGCTCCGTTTGTGGTGGACAGTCGCAAGTATATTGTGATGAGTTCTTTTCCTCCTTCCCTTCCTTCTTCCTTCTTCCCTTTCTGCTTCCCTTCCTTCACTAACTCTTTACTGAGTATCTAAGGAAGTTGGGCAATCTACTTCCGTAGTGATACTGCCTCGGAAACCCAAGGAGGGGTCGCTATGAGTGGGGTCTGACTCGATGGCACGTAATAACAACAGCAACAATATGTGTCTATGGGTCGGAATCAACTCGGCAGTACACAACAACAACAGGTGTCAAGCACTGTTCTGGGTGCTTGGGATACATAAACAGACAAATGTCCCAGTCTCAAGAGCCTACATCCTTCCAGGCATTCCCTACTCCCTCATTGCTGAACCTACCCAGTGCTAACTTTATCTCACACTATCCTACCCTGCAAGCCAGCCCTTATGCCCTTGTCACCTACATTTTGTGGCTTCAAGCACATATCCTAATTTTTCCACTGCATCTGGGAGGTGACATGTATTCTTGGCCCCTCCTGTCCTTGCTCATGCAGCAAAGAGTGATCCCTGAGTTGTTGATAAATAAGTCGATCTTCATTTGGGTGGACAATCTGGGTGGCCAGTCTTTTTGTGGTAGTCTGGACCAGAACCTCAGCTGCAGGTAGATAAGTTCCAAAGCCATTACTAATTCTGAAAAAGAAAAAAAGTTCCCCATAGTCTATATATGTCCAATACAGGACTAGCTTCAAAGCCAAAGTTCCCTCTTCTTTTTAAGACAAAGGAGCATCAATACCAACAATGGTATGTGAGATTTAACTATAAATTCCTGGTCCCTGAAAGGTGGAAATTGAGTACAGCCC